ATTACAGGTGCGCGCCACCATGCCTAGCCCTCTTCCCATTTTTTAACAAAAGATTAACTTCTGCTAAAAGCCCACAGCTTGTTAGGGTTAAAAATTGAGACTACACCCTGAGTCATTCAGCGCATTTTTAATTTTAGAATGTAACATGTGCTTCTTCAGGAAGTCCCTATCAGCAGCTGTTTCTGAACATGAATGAAAGCCCTGTAAAATAGATTCAAAGTCACCAACATTGCCTGTCACACAGTGCGGAAACTTGTTTGGTAACCTGATTGAGAAGGAATATACAGTTGCTGGGGATATAACTTAGCCAGGGATATAGCTCAGTGGCACAAGCGCAAGGTCCTGAGTTCAATTCCCCGTACCAAAAGAAGAAAAGAATATACAGTGACAGGAGTTATGCTGTGCAACACAGTAAAGATGTGCTGGCTGTGACTTAACAGGGTAGGCGCTTCAGGGTAATGCCAAGGAGTGTTTTTAGGCAGGTTTGACAGAAGCAGCAGTGCTGGTGTCCCTCTTCCTCTCCAGGATCACTTGAGTGATATGTGGTCACGAGGCCAGAGGGAGCAACAGCTGGGCCCTTCACCCTGGACGTCAGCCCGGGCGGCTCCGATGTCAGCTTGGGCCCGTGTGGGGGCCAGGGCGTCCCGAGGGCTGTGGGGCTGCTCTGGCTGCGGAGGTCTGGGCTAAGCAGCTGATGAGTGTGAGGCAACCAGATATCTTGTCATAATTACAGATGGCCACTGGCCTAGCCCAGTCTTGTGTGGTCTAATTTTACAGTCTTTCTAGAAAGCAGATCAGTAACAAGTAAGAAGTATTTGCAGTCCTGGATCATTCGCAGGTGATGAATTCTTTCTGACTGACACTTGGTTCAGTCATTACAGGTACTCAGCACATTATTACAGAGGCAGTATTAATTACCGTATGCGCTGGACCCTTGACTTACAAGCTCAATTTATTCGCGAGTGCTGGTTGTAACTCAGGTTGGTTGTAAGTCGAGACTATTTTTCCCGTAAGAAATAATGGAAACACCCATAATGCATCCCAAACCTGCCAAAGCACCTGTTAGCTAACCTTTTTATAATAAAAAAGGATTGTATCGTGCATAATTTACCAGAAACACAAATAATTTTCCTAGTGTATTCACCAAAAAATGATAAACTGTGCCTGGTTTACCAGAAACTCAAGTTGACGTCTCTGGCTTGCAGGAAGGGAGGCGGAAGTGGAAGATGGTTATTGTGTGGAAATAGCATCCCCGCCCAGAGAACATGAGGAATCTGGGCTCAGACTGACACTTACAGGCGCTTTTCTGGGTACAGCCGCACAAGCGGCTGGCCAGCCAGCATGCAGGTGGTAACTCAAGACTGGTAAGTCACACCCACAAACTCCGGTCATAACCCAAGTTTGTGTCTGAGGCCAGCCGTGACCTCGAGGGTCCACCGTTTCTAAATATACTTCTAAAAATATTTTGTGCTACCTATTTAACTCATGAAAGAGCATTGTTAAAATGCTTTTTTTTTTGTCTTTTTTTGGTACCGGGAATTGAACTCACAACCTTGCACTTGCCAGGCAGGTGCTTGTGCTGCTGAGCGATATCCCCAGCCTTTTTTGTTTTTTTTGAGACAGGGTTTCATTATGCAGTTCAGGCTAGCCTTGAGCTCACATTGTAGCCCAGGCTGGCCTCGAACTTGGAGTAATCCTCCTGCCTAAGCCTCCCTGCTGGGATTGCAGACAGGTGCCACCCTGCCCGGCTCTTAAACTTAAAAAGTTAAATACAGGTATATAAGCAGTGAGTGGGGTGTCTATTAAATGTAATAGGACAAAAATTTACCTTGAAACACAAAGTTGCTTGGTGCTGTGGGAGCTTCTTGGCTGCTGTAGTGTGGACCTAGTGACACTGCACATGTATAAAATGACATTCCATTACCAGCAGCGAGTCCCCAGTGTGTAAACATTCGAGTTGCAAACTTTCACCAGTGTAGTGCATAAGACTCATATCAGTTCAGTGCCGAAGCCAATTTAGGAACATTTCTCCCCAAGTGAAACACATTCGGAAGTTGGAGACTTACTCTAGTAACTGTCTCGTTGAAAAAAATATTTTGGCCCCCAGTATGGTGGCACACATCTGTAATCCCAGCACTCAGGAGGCTGAGGCAGGAGGATTGTTGCAAGTTCGAGACCAGCCTGGGCTACAAAGTGAGCTCAAGGCCAGCCTGAACTGCATAGCGAAACCTATCTTTAAAAGATAAAAAAGAAAGAAAAGAGAAGAAAGGCCTGTGCTCACACTGTTTGGACGAGATTTCATGCCTGTGTCTTGTACTCTAACTACTATGAAGATAACAGTACACAATGTTTTAAGTGTCGTTACTCTCCTACTAGCCTGTTTTGTTTTGTTTTGTTTTTTGAGACGGTCTCGCTGTGCACTGTGTAGCCCAGGCTGGCCTTGAACTCTCAATGATCCTCCTGCATCAGCCTTCTGAGTGCTGGGATTGCAGGCGTGTGCCACCACACCTAGTTGTTAGCCTGTTCAGAAACTCTGTTGTGCTGTTTTTTCTTTTTTTAAAAAGTCCTAAGGTTCATTTCAAAAAGTACAGCAACACAGAAAAAGCAGAAATGGCTGATGGGCATCACGGACCAGTGGGACCCCTGGGGGACGGAGGGTGAGGATGCAGACTTGGGCTAAGCTAAACACCATGGCTTTAAGTAGGAAGTTCCTTATAGCCTAGAGACTCAATTTTATTAAAGTTTTGTTTGGTACCAGAAATCAAACTCAGGACCTTACACTTGCTAGGCAGGTGCTGTACCGCTGAGCTAGATCCCTGGCCCTTCGTTAGATTTTTAAAACATTTTTGTCAGTCCACCATAAAATAACAGTGGCTTTTACTCTTCAGATCTTTCAACTCCTAGAAGGATGTCTTAGCCTAGTAGTCCTTGGAAATACTAGGAAAGCTGCCAGCCAGTGGGGCAGAGCTGCTGCTATGGACTGGGCGGGAGGAACAGGTACCGGGGATTGACCCCTGGGCCTTTGCACTGAGCTACGTCCTTGCCCGTTTTTTTCTTGTTTTTCATTTTGGTTTTGTGATGGTTGTTTTTTGAGGCAGGTTCTCACGATGTAGCTTAGGCTAGTATTGAACTCAGAACAAAGCCCAGGCCAGCCTTGAACTCACAGCGAACCTCCTGTCTCAGCCTCCTGAGTGCTGTGATTACAATCATGTGCCACCAGCCCTTTTTATTGCTTGAGACTTGGTCTTGCTAAGTCAGTAAGTTCAGTCAGGACTTGAACTTGCAGTGCTCCTTCCTCAGCCTCCCACAGAGCTCGGATCGCAAGTACATGCTGCCACACCGGGCCAACCAGCCCTTTTTTATGTGTTTAGTGTCTAAGTTGCCTGGGCTGGTGCAAAACTCAGAATCCTCCTGCTTCACACCAACACGTTGAGCTGACCCAATAACTTCTAAAAAGGAGTTTTCTTACCCTTTAAGGGCCACTTGTGTTTTGAGATGAAAATGTTCAGGGATTAGGTTATGATAATGGTTTTACAAGTCTGGAGATGCTGTTAAAGACCTTTGAAATGGACACTTAGAAAGGTTCAGTTGGACGCGAGTGTAGAGCACTTGCTGAGTATGTGTGCAGCCTTGGGTTTCACCCCTAGATTCCTCCCCTAGAGGAAGGAGCGCTGAATTTTGTATTATGTGACTCACATCAGTAAAACTGTTACATAAAACCGTTAGCCAGGCTGGGCATGGTGGCACACCCTATAATCCCAGCACTTGGGAGGCTGAGGCAGGAGGATCACCGCCTGAATTACCCTACCATAGTGAGACCCTGCCTCAAAAAACAAAACAAAACTGGTGGAGTATGTGATTAGCAACCCCTTCAGCAGTGGTTCTGAAACCTAGCTGCACATCGGAATTCCTAAAAAAAGTTAAAGAAAACATTGACGGTCAAGCTTTTCCCGAAGCAGTTCTGATTAGTGGGCCTGAGAGGGCCTGGCCTGTTCCACAAGCTCCGTAGGTTACTGCGAGGTCAGCTGTGAGTCACTGGCTCGCTCGCCTCATACCCATCGCCACGGCTGCTTTTGGCGAAAGCCAGATCACAATTAATTCAACAGTGGGCGCTGGCCCAGAAGCCGGAATGTACATAATGTGTTCCTGAGTAGTGCAGTAGAGCGGAGGGCCAGGCTCACATTCTGTCGCAGGGATTCGCGTCGGAGGGAGGCCATCTCGCCCTCGAGGGAGAGGTGGGCTGCGCAGTTCTTCAAAATGAAGCCGTGGGGCTGCTTGGGTGCACACACAGGTGTAAGCTGGGGCCCCAGGCTTTTGCGCCAGAGAAAGGAGGCAGCTGTCTTGTCGCAGACCCTCCTCCGACTGTCACTGATGAAGCCCTCATTCTGTGCACCGCTGGCCACAGTGGGTTATGAACTACTGCTGTCATAGGTAAATATTCTGAAGTGTTTGTTGCAGTAATTCAAACACAGATTACGTTTTTCTCTGAAATTGAAGAAATAGCTG